TTTGAAACAAATAATGAAACAAACAGTTTCATCCAAGTATTATACATTTTTAGGAAAATAAAAGAAATATTTATGTGTTTAATTGTTTATTGTATTTTATTTTATGTCAGTTTTTATATTTTTTATTTTATTTCAAATGAATAAATAAATTAAATACGTTTTACAGGTAGTTTTTACTGCAAATAGTAAAAAAAAAAGTATATCATTGCTTAAAAAAAAAGTTATACACACCCACCCACATAGATAGATAGATAGATAGATAGATAGATAGATAGATAGATACAGATATATCAATTTTTTTTAAATGTTTTTAATATGTAAAATGTTTTTAATATTATATAATTTAGATTTCAATGACTGTAATATATAACATCAAAATATAACATATATATATATATATACAATATATACACCATATATATAACACACACACACACACACACACACATATATATATATATATATATAAAACATATAATCAAATATAATATACAGTATATAACGAATAAAAAAATAAAGTTTGCAGTCATCAAAGTATTTAAATAATTTCCAAAAATATTTTATTTTATTTCATAGGTTTATTCTGGCCTTGACCATTTTTAAACAGTTCTCACTTTACAACATCATACTGGCTTCTGTGTGCCATTGTTTTGTGTACATTTTTCACATTTTGTCTGTTGTCTATTATCTCTCCCATCTGTATCCATCTTGATTTTGTACAAATTGTACAAAAGAAACATCTTGGCTTAAGTACAAGGAGATTCAGTAAGCTTTCACATGTAAATGTAAATCACTGGAAGCTCAGATTTGAGGCTAATGAATTCTTGCTTGTGTTCACTGCAGAGGGACTCTTGGGAGGCCACGGGGAGCGATGGGGTGGAGGGTTTGTGTGGAGATGCTCTGGCTCCCATGCTCCTGTCTACACCCAGTTCTCTGGTCAACCCTGACACCGTCAGCCCGACCCAGTTCCGCTCATCGTCCCGGGGCTCTAGCATGACATCTTCACAGTCGTACTCTCTCCATTCACTAGATGAAGTCAATTATCACTCCTCATTTCAAACCACCTCTGGCAGCTTTGCTTCCCCTTCATTAATGACTGAGCCTGCGACCAAACTAGTGCCAGTACTTCCCTCAGAAGATACTGAAAGTGCCCCTTCAGCCTTGAGCGACAGCCTGGTATGGGGCAAGGAGGACACTGCTAGCACTTGGTCACAGTATGAGGCCAGGAGAGCATTCTGAGATTGAACTGGAAGGAAATAAAGGCTCACCAGCCTAGCAGATCAACATCTCTTTAATACACAACAATTAGCACTACAATCTTTTTTTTTTTTGCCAATTTTACTTAGCAGAGCTACGGCTTAACATTGGGGAACAAATTATATCTTCAATTTAATGTTTTAATTGTATCGTTTATTGTAATTGTATCTTCTTTTTTGACATTACAACTTATATTGTCTCAGCAGCATAATTAGGATAATAATCAGTATAAGGAGTCTGTATATCAGTTTTTTGGTGACGCAAGTTACAGTGAGTCTATATAAATGTATATTATCTGCAAAAATTAAGTGTTACAATATTTATAGTTGATGTGTAATATCTAGCCCTGTTTCTCTTCTTGTGAGTCTTTCATTTCAAAGGCATGTTGTGAAAATGGTCTAAAAGGTAAATAAACTAGAATTACAAAAAAGCATTCTTGTAACTGTACAGCACAATGGACTTCAAAGTGCCTGACGTAAACACAACATTTAAAATTGAATGAAACCTCAAACTTTTTATTGAATGATTAAATTACAAACATTTTCAAGATAACAAAATCATTAAAACACGTTTTTATGCTCATAAAAATATACTCATATTTATTAAAATACAACTTAGAGGACTAGGAACAAATACATATAAAATAATGGGGAAAACAGATGTCTTTTCTTTCTTTCAGATTTTTTAGATGAAGAGATGAAAGTCAGTTTTACTTCTAAAGAGTCAGCCAGGAACCAGATTTTTATGTGTATAAAATATACCATATAAAATTAATAACTTGACTATGATTTTTCAGATGCTTTACTATAATACCAAATATTCTTTTAAGATTGAAGAAAAGGTATAATGTCAGAAGGCTTACTGAAAAGAGAGCATATATCAGACCACAATTCACAATATTCATAATAATAAAAAAAATACTGCTATCAAGTTGAAAGCGTACAGGACGCATTTCGTGGTGCAATAATTGAAAATAGATTTCTCTGAATTACAGGACTGATTTTATAGTTATAGGTCAATAGCAATATTAGTCGGTTTTTTATTCCTGCATGTGAAACATTTGCAGAAAGTGTATACATTTATTACCAAATAAACTATTTATGCTTTATATTTATATACTATGAGTCAGACCAGCGTTGTAAAAACGCAACCTTCTTGTGTTCTCCGGTTTAATCACCAGGGGGAGTCCTTCAACTACCTCCTCAACGCGGCAGACGTGTTTCTTAGAGATTTTACTCAGAATTATGGAAGATTTATTCAGAAATGTGACTGATAAAAAAGGACTGGGAAGAAAATAACATTTTGAAACTCGAGGTCTATTTGCAGCGGATTAACTTTACAAAACAATTTCACAAAGGAGTAAAACGTCCGTTCTAACTAGACAGTTTGAATTAATACTAACCAAGGTGTTTGAAGACGTATTTATTAAGAACCCATGTTGTATCAATACTTAAATCTCTAATTATACTGCTGTTTTGGAACGAAAGTTTCCGTTTGTCTGTACTGCATGCCACATGGAGCAATTGTCGGTCTTCTTTTCTAAGACAAAGAACACCTGCATTTAGGCTAATCATGCTTGCAAACTACATGCGTTCAGTCTTAAATACTCGACATTTAAATCGACACACGTAAATAAACTACAGCATTATGATTTCAGAGGTCTCAAGAAATGTAAATACGCCACTTGGAGCGTTTTCATTTAAATGATTTCAGAAATAAAAGTAAGTCAGGTGTGTGAGATTCTGCTTGAGATCAGCACCACTCGGCATCAAACAGATCCCTGCTTGTATTTTTATGTGAAGATAATTCATTGATTATTTAAACTGTTGCATTAAAACAAAAATACCCCGAGAAAAGACATTTATAAATATTATTATGAACACTGACCGTTGTTTAAATCTCATTTGAATTGGCTTTTGATTTTCAACAGTTGCCATTGAACCTTTCGATTAAATATTTAATTCTAATTTAATTTATTTCATAGTCAGTCTTCTTGTACCTATCTCCACTATCCTAGTAACTTGACTTTAGCAGACGTCCCAATTGTTCTGATGACAAACATGGCTGCTATCATATGCCACGCCCACCACTCCAATAATTCTTAAAATATTGCATAAATTTGATCCACAAGACGTAATATTTAATTTTTTGACAAGACTACCTATTACAGAAGATATTTACAATGTGTCATGGCATGTAAAACTTAATTTGTGCCTTCAGTCTCACTGCAAAGTTGAAATAGTGCTTCTAATGGAGACTCCAACCACCAGCACCAAAAGGATGATAAAATGTTAGAAATATATATTTGGTTGATGTCAAAATGTGAAATAACACAACATTCTATTAAAAGATATGCTATTATATGCACTGTAATAGCGAATATCACTCAGAAATAAGTCTTTTTACGAAGCTTTTGAATATTCAAATTGAAAGTATCGCGCAATCAAATCATTGTCAAATCATTGAGTTCTTGGGGTTTTAAATAGTAGGGATGAGGGGAGAAAAACTCAAACTAAAATATCCCTAGCTATATTACTGCATAATTGTATGTCCTGAGAGTGTTTTGAGGTTACTTTGTTGAGACTTTTTAAGACTTTTGTGAATAATTCGATCTTGCCCATATAATAGAGCAAAGAACTGACGTTGGGGTATTTCACTGTAGCACTTCCAGAGTTTTCCTCCTTTTCAGGCCAATATGTCTGGTAAGTACAAATTTATTTTTCTTTCATATAGGATGTTTTCGTCTTCAGCAACCTGAAAAACATTGAGAAAAAAATATGTTAATTAAAATCAATAAATACATTGGTAAACGTTGCTTAGAAAAGTATTGGTCAAAGCATGCAGTCTTACTAATATTTTAAAACAGCAAACACATATGGAGGATCACATTTAAACAAATTGGTGCATTTTATATATATATATATATACATATATTTTAATAAATGTGTTACATGGAATTTCTTGCATTTTAATGGGAATGATAATATTTCTGGTGATTAATTCAAGCTCAAGTTTTATTTATATCTTGAATTTTCTGTCTGCCTCTTTTTTTTTACTCAACTTTCCTTCAAGCAAAACTGAATATGGGTTTATCTGAAGATTTATTTGCTGTGTTATTTTAGACTTTACAATGTCGACCACCGTGTCCAACTGAATGCAATGGTTTTCGGAATAACCAACAGTAAACGATGACGGAATATAATTTCGACATTTTAACCAGAATTCAAGCTTTGCTTCAGAGCGCATATGAATATTTATTAGGATAGGTTTAGCTGTCAATGAGCCCATCAAAACACTGCCGAAGGACGTTTTTGCTATCGTCTCAACATCAGCGCACTTTTTTGCCCTCTGTAAACTCGGCTGCCTCTGCGTGGCGTTGTTTTGAATCACTTATGTTCAGACAGAATTTATATATATATATATATATTAACGCGGATCAGGAAGACGTCCCACTGTGTATGTCTTCGCAAGGCTGAACAACCAATTCAATGAGCCCATCAAAACACTGCCGAAGGACGTTTTTGCTATCGTCTCAACATCAGCGCACTTTTTTGCCCTCTGTAAACTCGGCTGCCTCTGCGTGGCGTTGTTTTGAATCACTTATGTTCAGACAGAATTTATATATATATATATATTAACGCGGATCAGGAAGACGTCCCACTGTGTATGTCTTCACAAGGCTGAACAACCAATTAAAAAATTAGGAAAGAAAGACAACTATTTTCCATCTATTTTTTACACATTTCATTTTGGGGGAAGTTATTAGGCGCGGCTTCACTCATGTAGGAAGAGATAGGAGGACTGCCCATTATATCAAGAAATAACCACATCTGCCGAAAGGATCGCAAAAACTAACTTGGACCCCAGACGTTTTTAGGGAATTTAAAAGAACAAACTTGTTGCAAATCGACAGCGCCCTCGTAAACAAATCGGGCTTCTTTGTAGCAAATCTAAACGGGTTTTCGGGTGACTTTGCTGCAAATCTAAACGGGTTTTCTGTTGGATATTGACTTGAATTTACCATCTATTTTCCGGCTAACTTTCTCTTTTCGCTTGTACGCGGCTTTTGCAGTTAGGCTATAAGAGTGTTTTACTTACGTTTGTAACTCGTAGAGGCGTCTACCGAGGGAGCTTCTCTTTCTCCATGTCTCACAAGCAGCGTTTTACAGTGCTTTCACTTCGCTTCCCGCAAACCCAACTTCATGCGCCTTGTGCCTTTATGCGCAAAACCGTCAATAATTCGATTAGGCTACTCGCCAGTTTAGTCGAGTTTTAATTTACAGCCACATTAAACTAAACTGCTAAAACTCCAAAACCGTCGTCCCGAGGCAAAGATGGCTGGAGAGCAGGTTTCTCGAAATTCACTACTGTCTATTGTAATGCGAAACTAACCCATTCACTGCCGGATCACCAGCGCGCTCAGACCAATGGAGTCTTAACTGGGAATACGGGCATAGTTTTCTACTCTTGTGTCTTATATTTATTGGCGTTTTCCAATGGCATATGGGGAAAAAGCGAATGCTGTCTGTGTATGTTTAAACATGTAGAAAGGCAATGACAAATAAGTATTCCGAATATGATAAAAAGGAAAAATATTTTAAAGATCTAGTTCTTTTAAATATCTAGGAACTGTGCTTTCCTTGCAACTTCGTTATTTTGATAACCAGATCGTTTATTCAGAACAGTTTTAAACACATTTTACACAATGTAAAACAACTAAATTGCTGCCCACATAGACATTCATTTTTCCCCTCCCCCCAATATACATTTTTTCTGATTTTTTAAATATATGGTAGAAATGCTACTAATGTCAACATATTTGACTTTGAAGCCCCACAAAACAATTTAGATAATAAATGCATGTTCATCACAGAAGTTTATTCAAGTCTTGTGTATTGTAATAACATAGCAGATCCAAACAAAAGTCACATCACTGACCCAGAAACATAGTCTTAAATAAAGATGAATGTTAAAAACTCTGATTCCAATACGTTAACATTTTTCTTTTAGCAAAATGAAAAGAGTTTTTTTTTTCCTGCACAGACTGCTTTCCTACAGATCGTCTGAATTTGGACTCAAATATTGAAAATCAATGCCAGTGTTTAACGAAAATGAAATAAAACTCTCTTATATTTTCTCCATCCAGCAGATAAACCTAAGGTATACCAGGGTGTGCGTGTGAAGACCACCGTTAAGGAGTTGCTGCAGAAGCACAGAGCCCTGCAGGCACAGAAAACCGCAACGGTAAACAATGGTGTTGTATATACGCAATAAAAGTCATAAGTCAGTCACTGACGTACAAGTTTATGATAGCCAAAGTAAAATGAAGTCTGGTCAGTGCACGACCAAATTTAAAAAGCATCTAAACGTCTTAAAGCACCACGCCCACACAGGCCTATCTGTGCTTGAGGCTTCAGTTGATAGCCTACCACATAACAGTACAACCTAACGGAAGATTTCTTCTGTTTTTCAACTGAACGAACGCAATGATGAATATTTTCCTTTGCTTCTCCCTCTCTTTTCCAATTTTAATCCTATAGAAATCACAAGCCGTGGCTGCTCGCGATGTCTGTTCTACGACCATGAATAGTAAGTTTAAAATACTAACAAATTAACTGAACGGCGATAAGTGATAGTAATCTCAATCCTTTGTCCCATACAGTCAAGACTTTTCACAATGCTGTTTACAAAAGCATCAGATTTCAGTAACCTTACAAGCACCTTTGTGGATATTGAAAAGGTAGACTTGCAAAAAAGCTAAGAAACCTTCTGCCTGCTAACATGTAAGAGCTTGAATTTTAATCAGGAAACCTGAGACAAAGACAAAAACAACGTATACTGACTGCATGCAACTTACTCCAAAATAGAAACCCTTTTCATCCACCGTCAGGCATCAGCGCTACCTTTACAATTGTGAGAAGAATAAATAAATAAATGAAAGAACAATGACACCTATCTATATAGGTGCCCCTTACAGATCCGTGAATGATCTCCTTTTTATAAACTAATATTCAAATGTGATTTAGCTGTTTGGCTGATGGTCTCGTGACATCATCCCAAGTCTTGCTGGCCTAATTTAAATGTTCTCCAGTGCTCAAGCCAGCATTTTCTTCTGTCTTCCCCGCAGCCCACCTTGATATCTTTGGAATGCAAGCTCCAGAGCCCTATTTCCAGACACGTCCCTTTACCGAAAATGTCAACATCCCGATGGAGAATGCTTATGATCATCAACAGATGATGCATATGATGCCACCTGAGACTTTCAGCTGCAGTAATTTCGTGTGTCCCATCTCTGCGCAGTGGTCTGATGGATATCTACCTTCTAACACGGACCTCTATGGTACTAGCCTGGTATGTGTTTGGTGATTTTCATTTTTAATAAACCATTTTTTTTTCTTTTTTGGCATTTGGACGGTTCTGATGCTCAAGTATGTTTGCACTAATAAATAAAATGACGCGTGCAGTATTTTAATAAGTATTTTTGTGCTTTTAAAATGATTTTCTCAGGTTTCGAGGTCACCCTCAGACTCCATCAATCTCCCCAGTCCCGTCGACTACAACAGTTACTCCCCCCCTCAGTCCAACTCTTCATCTTCTTCGTGCTACAACTCCCCAACACGGATGGATTTGAGCTCCAGTTTCTCTCCAGAAAATTACCACTATCAGCATTGCAACCTACAGCATTGCTTTTGTCTGTCGCACTGGTCCAATGTGCAGGAAGGCATGGCAACCTCAGAGTTTGCGCCCTACGGCTCATCAGACTGTTTGTATTCATATGGCGACGACAGCTATTTCAGAAGGGATACTTCAAACTCAGACATGTGTTACTTATAAAATGCATTTTGAAGCGCTTTGCGCGAAAATCCAGTGTCATAATTGATTCATTCGAATGCATTTGTTGTACTTTAGTTTAGATAAAAGAACAAGCAGTGATAGAATGCATGATTGGGCTTAGTTTAGTAGTTTAAGCAAAAAGGTTGATTGCAGAGAGCTAAATATGTGTGAGTATAATTTACAAATTATTCTTTTATCTTTTTTTACAATAAACATATTTTTCGTAATTTTACTGGTATCTTTTATTGAAAATATCTTAGATATATTAATAATGGGGAAAATATTTCAGATTTGCAGGGTGTAGTTTCTGTTTCTCACTTTAGAAATGAACATCGGAGCTTTGACAGCTGTGGCACAATTATTGTTTTGCATATCAACATTCGACATGAGGAAAATCCGAGAAAAAAGCTGAATAATATGTTATTTATGAAAACAGATTTTGATAGTCAACATTGCATTTATTATAGGTCCTATAACTACAGCTGTTAACACTTTTCTTTGCTCCCAACAGTCAATTCACTGAAAAGTAATTGCTGCTTTATTATTTTTTTAAGTAAAAACAAAGCCTGCATTGGACGTTTTCAACTACTTTAATGACTAATCTCACAAAATGAGTTAGAAATCACAGAATTATTGAGACAAGTTCATTTGTAGAAGATGTTTCTTATCTATATGAATATAGATGATTTATCTATGATTAATTTTTAAACTGGTTGTCACACCACAAACCGTTCGTGAACAATAACTGTCATTATCACACACTTTCACCAAAAGATAAAATCGAAAGAAAATGCAGCCCCGTTAACTTACCTTCAGAAGATGCTAAATTAAATAAAGACAATATGAATCTTGCAATTTGCATATAATGTAGAGATATTGCAAGAGGTTCAAAGTTCTACATGTATGAATGGTAAACTGGATAAGGACAATCGTATAATACAATTAGGCTATCACCTCATATGAAATGCGATACGATAAACAGTGCATATACTCAAAATAGGCTTTAAGCTTGTGTTCAGAAATTAATTACAGAACAGAAATCAACTAATGCTTGGGTATCTGTTTTTAAACAAGCCGAGACAGCAGTTCTTTATTTATATTAAATGTCCCGTGTCTCTTTTAACTTCGGAACATGGCAGACTTAATAATTTAACGGTCACGCAATGGTGTATGCATTAACTACAGAAATAGGGAATGTTTTGCAGTCAAACAGAAGGGTGTGTACAGTGATCCAGAGTTGGCAGACGCACACGCTTTGTGCCTGCTGCTCACCAACTTGGAATTCCCCTCGGGAGAGCAAAGGACAAGGAAGTCTTCCTCTAATCCACACGTTGGCTTCTTGATCCTTGAACGGCTTCCCTCCCACTTCTGCACAACGTGATGTGTGGTATAGCGATACTGATTCCAGGCACACTTCTCTCACGTTTTTTTAGGTCTGAAAAAACAAACAAACAAGGTGAATGTTATTCTTCGCATTAGACTGTAAACCAGCAATGGGAATCAGGAACCACAATGGGAAGGGCTGGGGGAATGAGTCCAGGGAGTTCCAGTTCAAACTGGTTATGTTTCTGCAAGAAAATGAAAAGGATTTCTGGCTTTTTCACCTCAATATAGTCTAAGTGGGATATGAAAGATCGAAAGAGCCGCACCCAAAAGTAGCGGGATCGTGTGAGTCAGTGGTTGCGCAATGTTCATATTTGTGAATGGCCGCAACACGCACCCAATGCGCGTCCTTGCACGATCTCTCACCAAAGTTGTCAGCTCAGTTATCAGATACAGAATTACCATTAGTAATTGTATTTTAAGAGTCATCTGTAGACTACGGTGTAGGAAAAGTAGTAAGTTTGATATAAAGGCAGCATTAATTATATGGCATCATTGCTCGGTTTGCATTATATGCAACATGTCAAATACACAGATTTGGACGGTTTCATGTAGCAACAAAATCACTTTGCATTAAATATATTATGCATTGCTTATAATACAGCGCATGAATGCACAAGAATAAAGTACAAGGCTATTTTAGCAATAAAGTGGGGGTCTATATTTTTATCAGTTTTGTTTTAATAAACATGAGACACTATGTGACCCTGCACCACAAAACCAGTCATAAGTAGCACGGGTATATTTGTAGCAATAACCAAAAATACATTGCATGGGTCAAAATTATCGATATTTCTTTTATAAAAAATCATTAGGATATTAAATAAAGATCATGAAGATATTTTTTAAATTTCCTACTGTAAATATATCAAAACTTAATGTTTGATTAGTAATATGCATTGCTAAGAACTTCATTCGGACAACTTTAAAGGCGATTTTCTCAATATTTTTTTATTTTTTTTGCACCCTTGGATTCCAGATTTTCAAATAGTTGTATCTCGGCCAAATATTGTCCTATCCTAACAAACCATACATCAATGTAAAGCTTATTTATTCAGCTTTCAGATGGTTTATAAATCTCAATTTCGAAAAATTGACCCTGACTGGTTTTGTGGTCCAGAGTCACATATAAAATTAGGATTACACGATAAGAGTCTGCTATAAAAACAAACAAACAAAACACATATTTGTGAGCATTAGCGGATCATAAGGTGAATAAATGCAAAACACATTGGTCATTGTTTTCTGAAGGTTGAAACAGCTGTGTCGTCATCAGGGCACGTGCAGCCCCTCTGTCAGGGGTGCAACTCTGGTCTGACATTTGGGGTGGGGGAAATACTCAGTTTTAGGTAATAGGCAATTTTCATTTCAGTTACAACATACCATTGTAATATGCAATGCATTATCAAAATCAAAAACAACACAAATAACTTTTTTTCAATAAATTATTATTAAAGTCATTTTAATGACTCGTGCAACCTTGCATTTTAAAAAATAATGTTACATAAAGACAAGTAAACAGTCAGCAATAAATGAACAAATTTATAGCAATGACACAAAGATACAAATAAAAAAAAAATTCAGGTAGCTATTCAGGAATTAAATACTGCAAAGTATAAATGCATAGATTAATATAGATTATATTTATAGATTAATCTTTATTAAAGATAAAGAAGTTATTCAGTTAAGAGCAGATTTGAGCAGAGTGATTTTGTCTATTGTTCTCTAACATTCATGACAGACAGCAGCAGGTATAAAAAGCTGTCATCACTTTAAGAACTAATGCATGGATCTGACACACATCAGATTTACTCACGACAAAGCGAGGCGTCAGTTTACTGTCGTGTCGCACCTTGTCGCATCCAGTGTAGACAGCATCACTGAAGCTATTAGACTGCATTGTTCGCTAAAAGTAGCACTGGTGATGTATTTCGAACTTCGTTTTACCCCTAAGTGAAGAACGAAAAAGACTTTCGCCATGAATAGCCTACGTCCTTGAGTCCACTCTTTGAGTAGGCTACTTCTTTTGAATACTTACCTCACAACCGTTGGAGCAGGCTAAGCCTATGAATGCATGTAGCATGATTGTAATCCAGACTTTGGCTACATTTGTCATGTTGTCATTGACATGTGACCTACCAGGGTCAGTTCATCACTTCACTGGCATTCACAGCTCCTCTCCTGTGGCATCATGGGATAGTAAAATGTCCACTGGATGCACCTGGATTCAGAATGTCACTGAAAGTAGGTCACCTGTTTCATGAATACTGTGAATTCAGACATACTAGACTTCTCACATACTGTTTTCGCCTACTATTTAGTAGGGAAGTATGTGTATTCGGATGCAGCCATATTTTTTTCATTCATACATGGTTGCAACAATGTTTTTAATTTTTCATTAAGTTCTATTATACAAATGTTTGATTCAGTGATGTTTCTTAAACATTCAGTTGTTGTTGCTTTAGAATTATGTCCTATATTAATCTATTGTAAAGAGAGGCTGATAGTATTTCAAATATGCCCCCCTCCCCACACACACATCCAAGCATTTGAGGGATATACAACGTGACCTGCTAAGTACAGAAAATAAGTGTTTTTTAAGTAGCGTATTCATCACTGATCGTCACTGATACCACTGATTCATTAGTTTAAACAAGAACATTGTGAACTGCTGTGGAACATAACGATTAATTGTGTTTTGCAGCAGCCAGTCCTCATCTTGGAGGTTAATCTAAGTGTGGCCTGAGGTAGAGGCAGGTATTGTACTCTGTTCTGATAAAAGATAAGACCACTATCAGACACATAGGTGTCTCAGTTCGTGGGAGAGATACCAAAGATACTTCAGTAAAGGCATTAGGAATTTCAATTCAGCAGTTTCAGACCTTCACCATGTTTAAATAAACATTACAAATGTTCTGTTACAACAGGCTGATTACTTTCACCAAAGTTGTAGATTTGCTGTTTTTCTTTTTCTTTTAATTGCAGTAAGACTGATGCAGTGGTCAGGACAATCAGATTTATGTTTAGCTTTATTAATGCAGTATGGAGGAAGTTCATGTCTGTTGGTTAATCTGTAAGAAAATGCGGATGAATAAATCTTTTCATGGTTATGTTTGATTTGTTAAAGAAGGTTAATGTACAATGAAGTATTACTGAACCATGTTTGCGTGCCAGGAGTGTGTAACCCAAGTTTAATGAGAATACAGATACCAAGACAGTTAAAATAAATAAATAAAAGGATGCAACAATTTCTGAATGAAAATTGTTTCTACAACATTTTTTAAAATTGCAATAAGTCTGATGCAGTGGTCAGGCCAATCACATTTATGTTTAGCTTTATTAATGCAGTATGGAGGAAGTTCATGTAGTCTGTTGGTTAATTAGTAAGAAAATGTGGATGAATAAATCTTTTCGTGGTTATGTTTGATTTATTAAAGAAGGTTAATGTACAATGAAATATTACTGAACCACATTTGTGTGCCAGGAGTGTGTAACCCATGTTCAACAAGAATACAGATTCCAAGAGATTTTTTTTTAAATAAAATAAAATAAAACTAAATAGATAGATAGATTATTTACATTATTGACAGTTATTTTCAAATTTAAATTAAAAGCATATTTCTGAAGTGTTACTAGTTTTACTTTA